CCACATGGGTGGTTCCAAAAGGCAAGGGGCGGCGGTGATTCGCCGTAGGCGTCTTCGATCTACTAGTACTGCTACTCCCGAGACCTCTCCTGGGGTGGCTTCTAACCGCGATGTCCATACGAGTTCCGCTGTGGCGGCGAGGGATGGGCGACGAGGGGTGGGTATAGCGGGATCGAAATGATTTCTCTCCTGGGCAGGGGAGGAGGAAGAGAAGGCGACTCGGGGAGATGGAGAAGCAGCAGCAGCTGCGGCATCAGAAACAACAACATAAGGAACAGCACCAGCGCGTCGCTTCCGCGCGCGAGCCCGCCCGCGGTCTTCCATGGCACTACGAGCGCAAGGGGACTCCAGCGCGACCTGGGTCAGCCCTCCTCGGGCTGGGCGAACGCCTCCGGCAGGGGATCCTCGCGCAGATTGTCCCCTATCCTCCTCCTCCTCCTCCTCCTCCTCCTCCTCCTCCTCCTCCTCCTCTTCCTCCTCCTCCTTCTCTCCCTCCTCTTCCTCCTCCTCATCCTCCTGCTGCTCCTGCTGCTCATGCTGCTCATGCTGCTCCTCCCGATCCTGCTAATACTGCTGCTCTTCCTCCTCCTCCTCGTCCCCCTCCTCTTCGTTTGTTTTGTTATGTAAACGCATGTTTAGTAGTGCGATGTGTCATTCGTTTCTTATAATCAGTATCATTACTAGTATTAATGTTATTCTTATTATCATTAGTAATATCATTATTATTCGTCTGAATGTTAGCAGGCTTCGCTCTATTATCACTATATTACTATTATTGCTAATATGCTTATTGTTCGGCGTCTTCTTGTTTTTCATCCTGTTCCTCCTCCTCCTCCCCCTCCTCCTCCTCCTCCTCTTCCTCCTCCTCCTCCTCCTCCTCCTCCTCCTCCTCCTCCTCCTCCTCCTCCTCCAACTCCTCCTGTTCCTGTCCTGCTCCTGTTCCTGTTCCTGTTCCTGTTCTGTTCCTGTTCCTCCTCCTCCTCCCCTCCTCCTCCTCCTCCTCCTCCTCCTCCTCCTCTCCCTCCTCCTCCTCCTCCTCCTCCCTCCTCCTCCTCCTCATCATCATCATCATCATCATCATCATCATCATCATCATCATCATCATCATCATCATCATCATCATCATCATCATCATCATCATCATCATCATCATCATCATCATCATCATCATCATCATCATCATCATCATCATCATCATCATCATCATCATCATCATCATCATCATCATCATCATCATCCAGGCGCCGCTTGGGGCTCCCACGCGCGCGGGGGCGCGCGGGCGGGAGCAGCCATGCGGCCCCAACCGCCAGCGGCCCGCGGCGAGGCGGGCGCTGGTGCATCCTTTGGAGATGGCGGCACGGCTCCCGAGCGACGGACACCCGCGCCAGCCTGGCACGGGCGCCTGAGGCGGCGGCGCGCCTCGGCGAGGGCGGCGCTGCGCGTGGCGGCCGCCCGCAGCCTCCTCGCAGGCCACCGAGGCGAGGCCACGTAGGAAGGCGGGGCGGCCCCCGCCGCTCCCGTGGCAGCAGCAGCGCACCAGCAGCGGCCCGCTCTGGGCCTGCGCCGCCACCAATGCTTGCGGCTAGGCAAGCAACTTCGCGAGCCGCGAGACCTGCTGGGCGCGCGGGCGGGACCGCGGAGGCAGGCCGACGGCGGCGCCAAGTGCGCGCCAGCAGGCCAGGCCTCGCTCCCAGCCGCGCCCTCGCTCTAGCGGTGCTGCTCGCGAGGCACGCGAGGCTCGCGCTGAAGGCGACGCCATGGACGCCAGCACCAGCAGCACCGAGACCCACGCCGTGGCCAAGTGTCGGAGGGCGCTCAAGGCACTGCGCAACATCTACGACGACAAGCACCCGCTCGCCCTGGCGGCCCGGAGCCTGGCCAGGCCGAGGCCGCGGAGCGCGCCACCACGCCCCCCGCGGATGTGCTGCGCTCAGCTCTGGACCGCCAGGCCACCCGCGCGGCTGAGCGCGCCAAGCTCCAGGAGGAAGTGGGCAAGCTCACTGCCGGCCTCAAGATTGCCACCGAGAAGCTGGGCGCCGTCGAGGCCCAGCGCGTGGGGTCCGAGGCGGAGGTCGCGCAGGCCAAGCTCGCCAACGCAGCCCCGCCGCTGGCAGGCCACGCAGCTTCCGCGGTGGCGGCGCCCCAGCAGCTCCTCCAGGGCGCCCGCGCCTCCGTCCAGCAGGGCCACGACCGCAACGTGTCCTGGAGCAGCTGGTCGGCCGCGTCCGCAACCTGGGCGCAGCCTGTCCTGTCCAGCCTGCGACAGTGACTGCCGCTGCCTTTCGACCCGCGGGCAAGCAGCCCGCTGGCGCAAGCGCCCCACCGCGGCATCGCCCGCAGCACCGGCAGCTCCAGCACCAGCTACTCCGAACACTCGCCACAACCAGGCAATCGCTGAGGGCGGACAAGCGGCACAATGGGAGTTTGCGGGCGCTGCGCAGGCGCGGGCGGCGCCACGGCGCCAGGCAACAAACGGGCATCATCGCGTTCAACGGCTCATGCTGGGCATCGCTGCAGCGCTTCCTCCTAGAGGGGGCCGCGGACGCGCTCATCGTCTCTGCGCCGGAGCTTCGACTTGAGGGCGAGGCCCTTGACAGAGCACATGTATGGGCGCGGCAGGACGGATGGAGGCCATTCATCAGCAAGCGCTGCAGGTTGGAGACAGGACAACCGAGTGCGGGGGCCGGGATCTTCGTCAGAGCGCGCGTACACACTACACTGCTTAGTGGTCGCGGGGGCGTGCGCGACGGTTTTGGAATCTTCCGATCCTGGGAGGTAGCTGTTCACGTGCAAGCAGGTTTACGAGGTGGCTTCATCGTGGGTTTCGCGTGCGTGGAGTCTGTTGGCCAGGCCGACTACCTCACTGTCAACTACCAGAATTTCATGCGCATTGCTGAGGCCATGCGCTACTACTCGGCCCCGCTCGTCTTCGCTGGGGACTGGAACGCTGAGCCCCAAGATCTCGAAGAATACGGATCTTGCAGGTCATGCTAGCGGCACTGGTCGCCACCACGCCGCAGGGCACGCGCCGATCCCCAGCTTCCGGCACATATCGGACCATCGACTACTGGCTTGTCTCGCCCGGCTTCGTGAAGGCGCGCGGCAGGCCCTGCATCTGAGACTCGTGGGCGCCACGTCCGCACTCCCCTGTTCGCCTCGACTTGGCTGCGAAGCCTAGGACCCAGTTACAGCTGCACCTGCAAGCCCCTCGGCCTTTCCCCAGGCAGGCCCCTCGCCATGCGGGCGCTGCGCCAGTGCTGGGCACGCCGCCCCAGCAGCCACGCCTCGACGCGGTGCGGCATGGCGCAGGTCGCAGGCTAGCCTCACCCGGCGCAGCAGAGGCTGGACAATCCCCACTCCAGCGTCATGTCTTTTCGTCGAGCAGGATCTTGCCCACATCTACCAGGTCGAGGATAGGCCAGCTCGCGGTGGACGAGGCCCCCTTGAACGGGAGGTCTGCAGTAGCTGAACACCACCCCGGGGGCGCTAGGCTCTCCCTGACCCCAGGAATGCGGGGGCTTGTTTTCCCATGTCCTTTTTCCCCTCCTTTTCGCTTTCCCCTCCTCTTTGCTCGTCCCCGCTCAAGCTTTCCGGGTCAAGCTGGGGGCCGGCCTCAGGTGGCCCAGAGGCCAGGGCGTCCCGGAGGCCCACTCCGGGAGCCCGCCGCCGCGCGCATCCGCCTCATGGCGCCGCGCGGGACGCCTCGCGGCTGGGGGGCGGCTGGCTTGCCGTTGCCGGTCGCGACCAGGAGCGCGCGGGGAGGGCGGCGGCGCGCGGCGCCGGGGGCCCCCAGCTGCGCGCTGCTGCGGGCCACCACCCTGCTGGCGACGGCGGCGGGCTGGCCCACCCCGCAGACGCTGGGGGACTACGGCCCGTCGTACTACGACGACGGACCAGGGCCCACGGCTGCGGAAGGGGCACCGCGGGAGCTCGATGATAGGGGGCCCCGGGGACCCGGCGGGGTCAGGGTCAGGCGAGCATGGGTTGCCGCCGGCGGGGGTCAAGCCGCCTGGCGCGCCCCCTGCGCCGACGGCCGCCCCGCCCAGGAAGGGCGCCGCCCAGCCCCCCTCCACGAGTGGCACTTCAGACACCTCATGGATTTGGGGGGTGGGGCCTGGGGTATCTCAGCTGGGGGAACCTGGGGAACCACACCTGGTCCTGGAAGGCCGAAAGGATGGGGGGCTGGGCACTCGTTTGAGAACCTCAAAGGCGCCTTCTCGACCCAACAGGATACCGGCACGCTGCGCTCCGACGGCGGCTGGGCCCTGTACCTGACCGACAGCTGCGGCGTGCGCCTGTTCGGCGCTCCCTGACATTCCTCGGTTTTGTTGTTTTACAAAACGGCGGTTATTGCATGGGTTTTTCCGAGACGCATGGAAAAATATATACACTTGCGATGTTTTTTTGGTTTTTAGGCGCGCAAGGCGCTGTCGGGTTCATAAGCGCGCAAGGCGCTGACGGATTTTTGGGCGCGCAAGGCGTTGTCGGGTGTTTTGGCGCGCAAGGCGCGTTCCAGAATGTCGAAGCGCATGCCGTTGTTGCGCCATCGACATGCGAGCTCCGCTGCCAAATAACAACTTGAGCTACCAGCGAATTTTGACCCAAGATTGCAACGGAGGAGGGCGGAGGGGGGAGGGAGGAGGGAGTAGGGAGAAGGGGAGACACAGCGATGGGCAGGGCATCTGCGTACATTTCATCTCCAACTGCACGCGCGCAGTACAGTCTGCGGGTGTCCATGGAGCACACCTTGTCGGATACCCACATGGCAGCCGTCGCTCCCGTGACTAAATGCGACGACCCAAATCCCCGACGTTGTGATTTTTTGTTCGCGACGTCGACCCCCAGAGGTCTGAACCACCCGAAGTCCGAGAAGGGCCCCCCGAGGCCGAAAATTAAGAAAAAAACACCCGTCGTGATAAACTCTCACGCCGCGGAGGGTCTGGGGCGCCAAGTGATCACAGGATCGAGTCGTCATCCTTTTCGATAGTGCGTTACTGCTGTTAGGGATAGCACCTCCAAGAGCAGACGAAAACCTCCCCTCCACCCCTCCCCCCTCGACGGCGGGAAAAAACCCTGAGGTCCGAAGCAGAAAAACAAACAAAAATACCAGCCAGCGTTGACTCCAACTAGATTAGACGACTCAAATCAAGGAGTCAGAGAAATCAAGTATGCTTGGAATCCGCAACTCAGCAAGCAAGCAAGCGTGCAAGCATGCGCGCAAGCCAGCAGGCAGGCAAGCAAGCAAGCAAGTCGGCAAGCAAGCGTGTAAGTGGGCAAGCGAGCAAGCAAGCTCAGAAGTGCAGTGTACCACCTCTGAGCATAGGCATAGGCAAAGACATGGACATAGGCATAGGCATAGGCGTAGACATAGGAGTTAGGGGGAGGCATAGGACTAGGCATAGCCATAATATTTTTTTGGGGGCATAGGAAATAGGGGGGAGTTAGAACTCATGTAGGGCAATATTATTTGGATAACAGAAAACATCGTGAGTAATCACGACCGAGGCCCTGGACCATGGACCCATCTTTCTGCACCATTTCTCCAACCGGATTATCTGTGAGGGTCTTCGGGCCCATAATCTGGCGAAAACGCCATGCTCGAAAAATGGGGCGCCAGGATCGGGTCCTCACCACCCTCTTGGACTAAGGCATGCCAGATGGGATCAGAGGAGATGGGGTCGGAGGATCGCGCCGCATCGTCAATGCATCAAACGCATCGGCGATGCAAAAGCGACATCGGCCGATGCACCAGCACCGTCGGCGTGGAGAAAATCGGGCTTCCCATCGAGCCGCATCGCCGATGCATCGTCGATACAGCGAAATCCTCCGAACCCCTCTGCTCGGACCCCATCTGGGAAGCCTAGACCGACGCCCCCAAGCGGTGGCGGGACTTGGAGGCGGCCCGGGGGTCCGAACCGGGACCCCAGAAAATCTGTGTCAGGAGGGGGGGATGAGGCCAAACCTCTCAGAATTGATCCCCAGATCCCTTCTAGGGTCCATCTGCTGCAATCTTTCGCCCAGGATCCGTTTCCCACCGCCCCAGGAAGCCGAAAAAGACCCCCCCAATAATCGGGAGCGGAAAAGAGGGGGGTGTGCAAGAGGGGGGGGCGCAAATCATGACCGGCGGCATGTGCGCGGCCCAGCGGGGGGGCCAGGGACGTAATGAAACAAGAAGAGGCGCCATGAAATCTGGGGAAATATCATGGCCCACGCCATGATATACACCCCCCCCTAGTCATCACCCCCCTCTTTTCCGCCCCCGAAATAAGCAAAAGCTTCCCGAACCCAGAATGTCGAACCTGCCCGCCCCGGGCCCCCTCAGACCCCCAGACGGCTCCGAAGCTAGAAGCCTCCTAGATGGGGTCGGAGTAGACGAAGTCGAAGAATCGCGCCGCATCGGTAATGCATCGCCGATGCATCAGCGATGCATTTGGCGATGCATCGGCGACGTCGGCGATGCATTGGCGACTTCGGCGTGAGGAAACGCGGGCTCTACATCGAACCGCACTGTCGATGCATCGGCGATGCGGCGCGACCCTCCGACGCCATCTACTCGGACCCCGTCCAGGAGGCCTAGAAAAGCGAGACTGCCCCACCCGGCGGGGCTCCGTTAGGTGCACCTCCCTGCCCGCTGCCGCGCCGCCGCCGGTGCCAGGCCACGCCCAGTCGTCGCGGCTGGTCTTGCCCGCGTAGGGGGCCCCTGCCCGCGCCTGCGCCGGCTGCACTCGAAATCACCCTAAACAATGTTTCGTGTTCGTGTTGTTTTCGTTGTCCTTCGTTATGTCTTCGCTCCGCCCTTTGCTGCAAAACGAAAACGAAACGGAAACGGCCCAGGAAATCGCCCAAACACCGTTTAAGTCGACCCTTCGCGCCGCCTTCGGCGCGGAGAAAAATCGGGCCCTCCATCGCGCCGTGTTGCCGATGCATCGGCGATGTGGCGCGATCCTTTGACCCCGTCTACTCGGACCGAGGGGTGGGGTGCGCAGTGCGACAGGTTCGTATCTTGCCGACCCCGGCGTTGGCTCCTGACACTGCGGGGCGCCGATCGTTCAACATCGACCGATTCTGGGCCCCCGCGGGCGTTCAACGTTGAGAGCCCGCGGTGGGATGCGGCCCGTCGACACAGCACGAACCTATCGTACAAGGCGAGTTTGATTTGAAAGGACACGCGAGAGGACACAAGAGCCTCCTGAAGGCCACATTTCCACAGGAATGCAAAGGCATGGGTCGTGAAACACTGGGCGCAAGGGTACCCTTGATTTGGCAGGGTCAACCTACTAATCGGACTCGAGTGAAATCCCGAACCTCAGACGATCTGATTCTCAACTGCGTTTGCGGAAATTGTTACAGGGTTTGCGGAGGATTTCCAGGCCTGTGGTAATTAGCTTCCGTTAGCTGCGCCTCGTCGCGGGCATTCCAGGAATGCCCCGCTTGTCCCGAATGGATGCGGACACCAGAAGTATGACCCGAACACCCAAATCTCCGACGATACGACTTTTTCAGTCTGGGCGTCTTTCCATGATCACTACTGGGATAGTGGATGCCAAGGTGAATCATATCTGTCCCTCAGTAGCTTTAGAAGAGGGGCATAAGGGGGGTCTTATAATCAACTGATGTGGGCTAAGTGGGCTTCGCCCACTTAGCGGAGCTCCACTTGGGGCATGTGTAACTAACGTATAAGCCAAGTTAGGCCAGATATACTAACTCACCTTGGCGTCCACAAATGAGCCCCATCCCCTCGGCAACCCCGACACCGATCCCAGCAGGAAGACCACTGGCCTCATTTGTCCAACGATCTATCTTTTGTCAGCCTAAGCGCTGTTTCGCGATTTCGGGTTAGGGCCCGTCCTCAGGACTGGGAACCCAGCGAAACGAAGGCCTGGGGCCAGTGGATCCGGGAGAAAGAACCACCCCTGGCGGAGGGGCCTGGGACCTCTGGGGGCGCGGACTGACGGAGCAAATCGGTGGAAGTCAGGGGATGTCGCCCAGAGGGCGTCCCGTGTGCTGCACGGTTGATGTGCCGGGGCGCATCAGTTGAACCTGTAAATGTACATTCCAAGGCCACGCTAATGACTACCTATCACACCACCCCAACCCAACCCGAAGACCCGAATTTCGGGTTGGGGGGGGTACGGGTTCCCTACGTGTTTTCTCGACGTTCCCCGCCCCCCCCAACTGGAAATGGAGGGCAAATCGAGACCTTCGGGTTGGGTTGGGGTGGTTTGGTGGGTGGTGAGCTAAGGGGGATGTTGGTTGACGGTGATGCTGGGAATCTGGTTTCTGCGACACCGAACTCGCGCAGAACAACTTGTAGGAAATCACGAATCACACTTGCTGACATGTCAAATGCGCGAGTCTATCGAGCAAAGACGCCACAGGGACTTTCAGGAAACCACGAACCCTGCTTGCCTACAATTGGTTCGGCCACGGACCAATCCCACCTACGATATCGAAATCCACATCGCCGTTACCTGCATCGCCGTTGGCGTGTCTGCGGACACTGACTAGATTCGCCTCCACATCTCGCCATCGCAGGCAAGCGTTTCCCGGTTCCCCGCTCCGTGGGGGGCGAGGAAGCACGAGCATGAGCTCTCGAGAGCCCGCGCGTCTTCCCCGGATCGACGCTGGGTTCCCGTCCACGGCGCGCGAAGCGTGCCAGGTTGAAGGGGCCCTGGGACACACAAATAAATACACACAAATAAAAATATTCCCCATATTTGCCTATATTTTCTGGGCTTCTGTCTTCCCCCCCACTTCCCATATTTTTCAATATTTTCCTGGGGGTCGACGATTAATTGTGTCTGTGTTTTTTTCCCTCCTGACAGGTGCGCCGGAGGCGCCGGTCCGGCGCAGACCCAAGACGTCCGCACGGAACTTCAAAAGTGTACGCCTGCGGTTGCACCGAAGAGGGGGAGTGCTTCGGCGTGCCGAGGGGGGCAGCGAGAGCGGGCAGGCCTTCCTAGAGGGCGGTGGAGCTTCTCGGGAGCTCTCTGGCCTTCTGAGGAGGCCCTCAGGAGCTTCGGAGGAGGCTCAGAAAACTTCTCAGAAGGCTGGAGGTCTTCCGAGCCTTCTGAGAAGTAGAACCACGCGCGCGCGCCTTGCGCGCATAGGTTGTTGCGCTGCACAACAAAGCTTTACGACACATTGGGTCGCTCATCATCTCCCCCATCTTCCTTGTATCGTCTTTTTCATTATTTACCTCCTCGTCCTCCTCATATGATCCCTCTCTCTCCTCCTGTTCCTGCTGCTCATTCTTCCCTTCATCGCAAATCCTTCTCGGTTCGTCCTTTTGAGGGGAAGATGGTGTGGGGGGGAAGCTGCGAAGAGAGAGGGAGGGACCGAAGGGATACGAAAATGGAAGGAAGAGGGAGAATGGGACCCTGTACAGTCTCGGAACGAGCGGTGATGGGCTGGCGTTGGACCCATCTCGGGAAGCGTTTGGGCGACCTGGGGCTGGGGGGTATCCAATAATTCCATCAGCCCACTGGGCGTAGGTGGTTTAACCAGTTTTGTGTCCTTTCCCTCCTTCCCCTGCTCGGAGGAGGGGTTTTAGCACTGTTCTCTATTGATATACACCCCCTCCCCCAGGCGACCAGCAGCCAACCAGGAACAATGCCGACCGTCTGTTCCCCACCCCACAACCATCCCTGTCAAAAAAACGAAGCACACTCTGCCTCCAAATCCGGAGCCTGCGCAACCAACCCGATGCGGTTCCCTCCACCATCTCTGTCACCAAAAAACTACAAAGTACACTTTGGGGCAAAGTCTGGAGTCATGTTCGTGATACCCGCGGGCACTCTGCATTGTTGTTTGACCGGGACGGCGGGGGTGTCAGCACATTGCCTGCTTCGCGCAGTGCCACCATCCCTGTCAAACAACAACACAGAATGTACCTCGCGGCTGAATCTGAATCCTGCGCGGCCATCCCGAGATCACTGCCAAGTGGTTTTTCACAGGGACGGCGGGGGTGGTGGCGCGTGGCCTGCTGTGAGCAGGCCCACCAGACACCATGATGGGCATTTGTTTTCGACAAGGACGGTGGGGGCCGACATGTTTCCCGATGTGTGCTGTCACGTGCGCAGGCGCACCTGACACACTCTGCACGTGTTCCGAACGTGGTGCACCTGGCGCGGCTGGAGTGTGCGGCACACCTGGCGCACGTGGAGCACGTGGCGCATCTGGCGCACCAGGCGTGCCTGGCACGCTCGGGCCCCAGGGGTGCCTGGTTCGAGTGGCGCACCTCGCCCCAGCGTCGCGCACATGGCGTTGGTTTAGGTTTCGGGTAGCCCTCCATCCAAAGACGACCGCTGAACATGCTGAGGGTCGGGTGTTACCCATGTGTTGGGAGGGCGGGTGGGAGTGAGCTAGACGGCTTGCTATCTGGGAGGCTGTCTTGACCCCTCCCCCTACCCTATCCATTGGGCCTGGAAAGGGGGAGACCGGGTAGATGAGGTTTCAAGATGGGCCCAAGATGGTTCCAAGAGGACATTCGGAAGCCCAAGACGGCCTCCTAGATGCAAGACACCCCAAGACGGTGCCAGGTGCCCTTCGAGCCTTCCAGGCACCCTGCAAGAGGCCAACACCCTTCAAACACCTTGAAGGGGAATCAATGGGTTGTGCCTTTTCGCTTTGGAAGCTTGCGAGGCTCTTGAGGCTCTCAAGATGGCCCCAAGACGGCCCAGGAGAGCCCAAAGAGGGGCCCAAGAGGGGCCCAAGAGAGCCCCAATCTTTGAATCTCCGTGGGGGAGGCCTGACTTGTGTAGCCCCTCATGTCGAGCCTTGGGGGCCAAGCAGCCTCCCCGACCCCCCCAATGAGCCCCCAGAGGGCCCCCCAAGACCCCCCCCCCCAAGAGGGGCCCAAGAGGGAGGGCCCCAAGAGGGCCCCAAGAGAGGCCCCACGGGGACCCCAAAAGAGCCATTGAGGTGGCCGTAGTCTTTCTTCGAAGACTTCCCACAACAACATATCTCCGAAGTCCGACTTCTCATTCTCTTTGTCATCGTTCGTCCCCTTCCTGCTCCTTCTCTCTTGTTCCTTCTCTTCTTCCTCTTCCTCCTCAGCCTCTCCTTCCTCCTACCCCCAAGATGTTCCAAGGAGGTCGAACATGGCTCAAGATAGCCTCCAACAATGCTTCGAGAGGCCTCAAGACAGGCGCAATATTGCCCAAGATAGCTGAGCATGGCTCACGATAGCCTCCGACAACGTCTAGCAGAACACGGCTCAAGGCAGCCTCCAAGAAGCCTTAAGCAAGCCTCCGATCGTGTCTCCTCCGAGGGATCGGAGACCAACATCTGGTTCCGACAGCTGCTGACCGAGGCCAACAACCCCAAGACGACGCTCAAACATATCGACGTGATCGCTGACAAGCGCCATGGGGAGATCTACAGCGACAGCAAGCGTCTCGTGACGCACATCGCTTCAGATGTGGGCCAGTCGACCGACAAGCGGTTCCGCATCGTCGCCTCCATGATCGAGGAGGCCGTGCACCCGAACAGTGCATGGTCAGCTGGATCCCGTCAAGCTCAGCTGCATCCCGACGTGGGGCATGGTCGCGGACGCCTTGACGAAGACGATGGAGGTGGGCGTCCTGCTGTCGTTCTTCGGGGCCCGCAAGCACACCTACAGGACCCGGCAGCCGCACGCCGCCATGCTCGCCTCAGTCCCGTTTACCTGCCTCGGCAAGGTCAAAGGACAGCCTGCGCCTACGCCGACCATGCCGGACTACAGCTTCTACATCTGCCTGCTGACGTTCACGCTGGTCCTCGGCATGACTATCGGTTTCGGCATCTTCATGACGCTTTGGACGATCATGAGGCAGAATAACGCGATCGCCACCGAGGAGAGCGTCGCCGAGGCGAAGGCTATGGGCGAGCACCCTGGCTGGGACGGCCGCATGCTTGGCTTGGCCGACGCCGCAACATACCACCTACCATCCCAAAGGACCGTGATCACGACGGTGACAACACGATGTTCCACGCGGACGTTTTCAGCCGTGCGCAGGCATCGAGTTCAAAAGCATCGGCTGCGATTCAACAGCCGCCGCCGCCACGGTTGCCGACAGAGCCACCGCCTGACAGCGCACCGCCATCACCATGTACCGCAACATCACCACGGGGATCTGGAGGATCAAGATCAGCGAGATCTCAGGGAAGTTCGGCCCCTGCATCGCCAAACGTTGTCACTGTGACGAATTCATCAAGTTCAGTGTCAGCCACGTCAGCCAGTGTTGTATCGTGGAACGGCTCCTCACCAACAGTGCAGCCGAATGACATGCTCACCAGCGTGACTGGCATTCCTCATCATGATGTCGTTATCGGGCACAACCCGCACAGTGTCTACATCACTTGCAAGACCTGCAAGAAGCATGCGTCGTGGCTGCTCTGGCACTACCGTTGCAGCAACCCCGATTTCACGATCTTCCCGGAGAGCGTGATGAACGATATCATGGGCCGCTGGTGGGAGCTCACAGGCAGAGACTGCTGGCGAGGACCTGACCTGATGGACAAACCAACGAAGCCAAAGAAGGAAAAATGAACCCCGCTTGGTTTCCGGACGGCAGGTTGGCCGATCGAACCGGCAAATATTCTGCTGCTCAGATTTACACACCCGTCTATTCATACGTTAGTCCGCATTGCTGCTCAGGTTTCATACCCAGCTAAAGATTTATCATTGCTGATCAGATTTCGCACCTGGTGTAAAGATCTACGCGTAATCCCGCATTTCGAAGCTGCACTCAGCGTGCACAGTTTTTAATATGTGATGACGATCGCACCCATTCAGCATTCAGATCTTATCTCGATAAGATTGCTATTTTGAGTTTTGTCGCCTAGCGATCGAGCTCTTGCTATTGCTAGCCTTGCTTGGTTATGATTAGCGCCGACGGCGCTGAGAGCTGAGAATATCCTGCAGGTCGCGTGTAGTTCATCCGCTTAAGTCCCCAAGGGGCTTCCTGCGATGCAAGCCGTGTCGAGCCGTTTGCTCGCCTTCCGCCAGCACGCCTGGCACTCTGCTTAATGAAGGGCCAGGCTTATCTGCCCGGCTGCCCTGGCGCGTCAGCCTCTTGCGCCCGCGCACCGTGCAGGAGAAGTGTGATTCCAGAAGGCTCGCAGCTCTCCTCACCTGCTCTCTGCCACCGCTCATTTGGCTCTGATTATTTTCCAGGGCCCTTGGCCGATTGAGCTACGATCCGCTCTGCGAGCGTTTCCAAAACGATAAATCCGCGATCTTTCCATATCACACCAAGAATGGCGTCCTGGTGCGATTAAAGATCGTCAAGACGCAACAATCAGGTTGATCCGTGGCGTTGGAGTCCCGAGACTGGTGTTTTGGCATGCTAAAGGGTCTTCAAACTGTTCTCTCAACGAAGCAGTTCCCTCAGTGGAAATGAACCCTTGTAGGGGCCTATGAAGAGGGAGCTCGGCGAGAGGGTTGCTTCCAACATCGTTGATGCGTCTTGGGTTTACACTGGTCCTCCTCCTCCTCCTCCTCCGAGGCCCGATCCTCCGCGTCGCGCAGGATGTCGGACCGCCTGTCCATGTACGCTCGCTGCTGCGTGTCGTACTGGGCCTTGGGGCCGCAAGAAAGGACGACACGCCCTCCTCCAATCCCTGCTGACTAGGGCGACGAGATTTCGAATCAAATGTAAGCGATGTAATCGGTAGAACCCCTAGAACTCGGCGGCGAGATCGAAACCGACGGATACCGGCGAAAGCAGCCCAGAAGGACGCAGAAGCGCGCCAGCCGACCGAACCGAGCCGACTGCGAAGCAGCCGAGCCGACCGAACCGCGGGCACACTCGTCCGCCCGAACCCCCCGCACTCCGCCAGCTGAGGAGGGCACACACTGAGCTGGAATCGACGACACGTCGCCGACACCTCGGCAACAGGCCCCCGTTTTGCGAAGCCGCGCGCTCCTGGGCGGGGTGGGCAACCGAGCCCCTCATCGGCGACGAATGGGAGATTCGGAATCGATGCTTCCGCTCCTGGGCCAGTGGCTTTCGGGTCATCGCTCAAGTCTCGGTCGGCCGTCCAGGAGGATGCGGGCACCCCAGGAAAGCTCTCGAAGAGGCGCCGCTGCTGACGGGCATCCCGAAGCGAGACAACTTCCAGAAGCCCACGAAGACGTCCTCCCCCCTCCCCCTTCGACGAAAACGGCCCCCCCTGAGCCCAGCCCCCCAGTCGCTTCCCCTGGCAGCCCGGGCGGTGCCTCCCACCGCGATTGGCCCGGTGCCGACTCCAGGGGTGCGCGCGGGGCTCCGAAGGCTCGTGCCTGCACGAACAGCTGTGCTTGGCTCCCCGAGGGGCGCCGCCATTGGAGCTTTGGGCGCCGCCTGCCCCGTGTGGTGATACTTGGGCGCAGAAAGTAGGAGGAGGAGGAGGAGGAGGAGGAGGAGGGAGGAGGGAGGAGGGCGCCGACGCCGACGACGCCGACGCCGACGACGACGACGACGACGACGAAGACGGTGACGACGGCGGCGGCAACGGCGGCGGCAACGGCGGCGACGAAAACCGGGACCAGGCCCGGGCAGTGGAGAGGGAGGAGCAAGTGAGAGGGAGAAGGCCTTCTCAGAAGGTGGCGTGACTTCTCAGAAGCCCTCGCGCCTGATGAAAGGTTTTCTGCGTCTTCGGGTGAGGCCGGGGGACTTCCGAGCCTTCTGAGAAAGCCCGCCCCTTCTCACTTCCCCCAAGGGCCAGCCGCCGAGTTCGACGGACCAAAGTCTAGCCACCCCACCAACGACCCGCTGCTTTGAATTTTTGTGGGCTTGCCGCGCCCTCGTTTTGGATGTGAGTCCTGGCCCAGGACGGCACGCACGATGGCGACCGCGCTCGACAACCATATCTTAATGGTTTCGATCTTGCAGTTGGGACATGCTCGGTACCAACGTGGTTGCTTTGTTGTGTGAGTACGCCACTCGTCTGGGCGGTGTCGCCGCACGGTATTATGGGTGCCCCTTCGCAACGGATGCGCCCGCCTTGAAGAGGCACGTCCGAACCGAACATATAGCACAAACATATCAGAGTATTTCTCGCGCTTCTCGCGCGCTTCGGTTCTAGTGAGCCTCGGACTTCAAGTGCGGAAAACCCACGACACCTTGGATGGATCGACAAGGTTAGAAAGCACACACGCGTGTGCACACATGTGTGTATCAAAAGTGAGGGGGTGAGATCGAAGTGGAACGGAGAGCCACCCTACCGGAAAATCGGTTTCGGTTTCGTGTTCGTGCGTGCCGTGCGTGCGGGCGAGGCGAAGCTGCGTGGGCGGGCGAGAAATAAGTCTCCTGTAGCTGAGGCGCGGCTGGACCAAAAGTCTCCCTTCCAGCAACCGGTGCCCCGCGGTGTCCCGCCGCTGTCCCGCTCGGGGGCCGGTGGAGCGCGGTGTCCCGCCGGTGTCCCGCCAGTGTCCCGTCGGTGTCCCGATGATGATGATGATGATGATGATGATGATGATGATGATGATGATGATGATGTTGACGATAATGGTGATGGTGGTGATGGTGGTGATGATGATGGTGTCCCGACGATGATGATGCTGATGATGATGATGATGCTGACGAGGTTGATTATGATGATGATGGTGATGATGGTGATGATGATGGTGCCCCGATGATGATGATGATGATGTTGATGATAATGATGTTGCTGATGATGATGATGATGATGGTGCCCACATGATGATGGCGATGCTAATGTTGTTGATGATCCTGATGATGTTGATGATGGTCAGATGATTTGATGATGATGGTGATGACGATGATGATGATGATGATGACAGTGTCCCGATGGTGATGATGATGAGGTTGATGATGATGCTGTTGATGATGATGATGATGATGGTGTCCCGATGATGATGATAATGATGATGATGACGAAGATGGTGTCCCGATGATGATGATGTTGATGATGAGGATATTGATGAGGTCATGATGATTTTGATGATGGTGGCCCAATGATGGTGATGATGATGCTGATGTTGATGATGATGATAATGATGGTGTCCCGATGATGTGGATGATGCTGGTGTTCCGATGATGATGATGATGATGATGATGATGATGATGATGTTGAGTATGATGTTGTTAATGGTGATGATGATGATGATGGTGTCCCGATGATGATGATGGTGATGATGTTGTTCATGATCATGATGATGAGATGATGATGATGATGATGATGATGATGATGATGATGATGGTGATGATGATGATGATGGCGGTGTTCCGATGATGATGGTGTCCCGATGGTGATGATGTTGATGATGAAGATGGTGACGATGATGGTGTCCCGATGATGATGATGGTGATGATGATGTTGGTGATGAGGTGATGATGATGATGATGATGATGGTGTCCCGATGATGCTGATGATGATGATGTTGATGACATTGATGATGATGATGATGATGATGATGATGACGTTGATTGTGATACCGATTGTGATACCGATAGTAAGATCGATAGTTGGACCGAATGTGATATCGATTGTGAGGTCGATAGTCAGATCGATAGTGAGATCGATTGTGAGATCGATAGTCAAATCGATTGTGAGATCGATCGAATGAAATAGATCGAGTGAGACCGATTGTGAGATCGATCGAGTGAGATCGATCGAGCGAGACCGATAGTGAGATCGATAGTGAGATCGATAGTGAGACCGATCGAGTGAGACGTTGGTTCCTCACCCCCCTCGAACCTCCTTATCACCCGAAGGGTGCTCGTATAGGTATAAGCACAGCTGCACGCGAACTCACACTTACACGCACTTCGGAACAAACTTAGGAGCCACAGGTGGGCCACACCTTGGGGGCTACACGTGGGGGCTGCAGTTGGGGGGCATACTTAGGGGCACGCACCACCCCTGCCCCCCTCATTCTTACGCGCGAGTGCGAGTGTGATGAATGATTTATAATGGCGTTGTCGCCTTCGCTCCATCTGGCCATCAGAAAATTAAATCGCCCAAGGCGCCCGACTGAAGCCTGAGAGAGGCCTGACAAGGCCCAAAATGACCCCAAGAGAAACCCTGGACCGTCTGGATAACTGCCCGGCAAGCCTTCTGGAGTTCTGGAGTGGTCCTGGGACCAGCGTTTGGGCGGGAGCGCCAGTCCAGGTTGGTAACGTGGCTGGCGCTGAAGCGAGAACTCGATCTGGGCTGGGGTACGGCCACCAGCTAGGCAGGCACATGAACGCAGCTCACGCGAAACCAAGAACGCCAACTCGGGCCAGGAAGATGACTCGCGCCGGAGCAGGAGCACTTTCTCATGTTTTCCCCCTCGAGCTGGGAGCGTGGCCGAGGCGACGGGGAAAGCCACTTCTAAGCCGTGGACATAGGCTGCAACCAGCGCGCATGGTCCAGGCAACATTGCCAATCCCGCTGCCGCGCGAAGCCCGCGGCCGGGGGTCGTCCAGGACACCCACGGCTTCAACCTTGAACGCCCCCCAGGCCCCCCCTCCTTGACCGCCCCTGCGGCCAGGGGGGGGGGGGTCCAGGACACCATGGCTTCAAACTTGAACACCCCCCAGGCACCTCACCTTAACTGCGTCTCCGGTCTGCGGAGGAGCCTCGGGACACCACGGCTTCAACCAGGAGGGCCCTCCTGGCACCAGGGAGGGTCCCTCGGGACACCAAGGCTTCAACAACAACAACAGCAAAAACAACAACAACAACAACAACAACAACAACAACAATCATTTTACCCGAACGCTCAGTGTTCTCACCAGTGCCAGGGTTTTCATGCGACGCGAGACAATACCCCCACTTCGTGGGGGGGCAGTTCAAGCTCTACCAAATATCCAAACGACTCTTCGCGACCACCCAAACCCAGCTTCCCGCCCTATGACGTTGGGACACTTCACTTCGTGGCGTGCGGACGACCGTGGCTACTACACTGGCGTGGGGTACACACCCACAGAACTTGGTCACTTATTCGGGGCGCGCGTGTGCCCAGCATCCTGCAATTGTGACATACAATACATGACACAGACAGACAGAGAGAGAGACAGAGAGCAGACAGAGAGAGAGACAGAGAGAGCGGAGTTGGTCACATTTTTGGGGCAAGTTCCTAAGATCGTCGTGTTTTTTGTTGGTCTTGCGCGCGCGAATGTCCACTTTACTTTTTTTTGCAAGGGAGTATTGAAATTTGATTATGTTAGAACAAGAAAAAGTAGCTCGCGCGAGCTCATGTAACATAAATGTTGAAAAACCATTGGTTTTGTGGGAGTCGGACAGCGCGCGCGGGATGAAATTTGGACATTTTTTTTTGAAAAACCATTGGGTTTTTGATGTTTTTATGTTGAAATCGTTACGAAACCTAAGGTTCTGGAAGGATTTCGTCTTGCGCGCGCGAATGTCCACTTTACCTTATTTTTTGCAAGGGATTATTGAAATTTGATTATGTTAGAACAAGAAAAAGTAGCTCGCGCGAGCTCATGTAACATAAATGTTGAAAAACCATTGGTTTTGTGGGATTCGGACAGCGCGCGCGGAAGGACATTTTGACAATTTTTTCTTAAAAAACCATTGGGTTTTTGACGTTTTTATGTTAAAATCGTTACGAAACCTAAGGTTTTGGAA